AAAAAAAAAAAAAAAAAAAAAAAAAAAAAAAAAAGAAAAAAAAAAGAAGTTGGATCTTTAGATCTCTTGTATTAAACAAATGAAATCCAGATAAACTGAAGATCTAAACAGAGTAAAATTTTGAAAGTTTTAGGCTGTGGGTGGTGGCACCTACCTATAGTCCCAGCACTCAGGAAGCTGGGGCAGGAGGATTTCTGGGAGTTCAAGGCCAGCCTGGACTACATAGTGAGTTCAAGGCCAGCCTGAACTATATCATGAGTCTCAAAACAAAAACAAAAGCCAGAAACAAACAAAAAATTCAAAAAAGAAAATTTTAGGGAAAAAATAAAAAAATAATTTTGGAGGTTGAGCAAGGCCTCGCAAGATATGAAGTCCCAGGGTTATAATAATAGTTAATACTTTATTGTATTTACAATGTGTAAATTGTTGTTCTAAATGTTTTACAATCAAACCTTTTAATACTACTCTAGGGGTGAAGGTTTTATGATTATTCTAATTTTACAGATGAGAATTAGAGGCACAGGTAACCAAGTGATAGAATTACACAACTAGTAAGAAGCAAAGTTGGTGTTTGAATCCAGCAGTCTGGATCCAGAGTCTGCACCCTTAACCACACCTTACTTCCAAAAGACTGAGCTTTAAAAATAATAATATGCCTGCCTCACAAGTGCAAGGTCCTGGTACCAAAAAAATAAAATAAATAAAAAAGACAAACTGGTACAAACCTCTGGTAATGCATAAAAGGGAATAATTTCCCATATTTACAAATAATTCCTAGAAATTAGTAAGATAAAAACAAAGGACATGAAAAAATAATTAAAAAGAAATAGAAATGTACATTAAACATATAAAAAGTTATTCTGTTTAACTAAAGATTAGGGAAAGCAAGGTAAAAGGAGGAGATAGTCTTGATTATTTGGATTGACAAATCTATAAATATAAAGTTTATGTTAGGAGAGTATAGTTACAGAGCACTACAGCACAAAACTGGCAGAAGTATAAATTGATGTAATCTTTCTAAAGGTCATTTTGCCAGTCTGTCTGTCTCTCCCTCTCCCTCCCCCTCCCTTTCCCTCTCTCTGTCTCTCTCTGTCTCTCTCCCTCCCCCCCCCTCTCTGCTCCCTCCCTCTCTCAGAAATCAGCAGCAATTTTTTTTTTTTTTTTTTTTGTACCAGGGATTGAACTCGGGCCCTTGTGAGGCAGGCACCAGAACCACTAAGCTAAACCCCCAACAAACTTTTAGCATATTCTTTTCTCTTTTTTGGTACCGGGTTTCAAACTCGGGTCCTTGCATTTGCAAGGCAGGTGCCGGAATTACTGAGCTATATCCCTGGCCCAGTACCTATCAATATTAAAAACAGGTATTCTTACTGGGTGTGGTGCTGTGCACCTGTAACCCCAGCACTGTGGAAGGCTGGGGCAGGAGGATTCTAAGTTTTTTTGTCTTGTTTTGTTTTTTGAGGATTGTGAGATTGAACCCAGCCTGGGCAATTTAGCAACCTAGAATGATTCTATCTTAAAATAAAATATAAAAAAAAGAGATGAACACAGGCATGGTGGCCTATGTCCATAATCCCAGCACTCTGAAGCCTAAGGCAGGAGGATAGCCAAGAGTTTCAGGCCTGGTGAACTCCATAATGAGACCCTGTCTCAAAAAACAAAAAACAAAAGAGATGAGATGTAGCTCAGTGCTAATGATATAGGGGAAATAAATGTAACTCCCAATCTGCTAGATATCAGATACACAGAGTTTGCACTCCCCCAAATCACAAAGAATGAATTCAAAAGAACAGGTTAAGAGCAGGAAAACTTATTGAGAGAGACAGCTCTTGAGAGACAGGAGGGGACTCAAAAGTGGGTTGTGAACAAGCCCACTTTTGAAAGGAAATTTCATAGAGCAAAAATCACAAGGTGGATACAATGTGGGTCAAAACTATGATCAACCAATAAGATTATAAGTATAGTGGCTTAGGTACTATCAACCCAATGAGGAAGCAGGACACGTAGCAAGTGTACATGGAGCAAACAAATACTTTCTTTAGGAAGGGATGGATCAGGGGGTCTTGGTCACCTACTGGGGTGACTGATGTCTATCTAGACTTTATTGGACCAAGTGATTATCTTATCCCCTGAGGAGGTATGTAGGCCTGGTTATTTCATCTGTATATTGAGTCCTGGCCTCCAACAGATGTATCTCCAGCCACAGTTGTAATGTGTACTCATCCTCTGCACTGACTCCCCCAAGGGTCTAGCCTTGTCTGATTCCCTATATTCCTACCTAATTCAGCTATCTATAATACTAAGACTCTGGGTTCAGTCCCCGAAACTGTAAAAATAAACACTAGGAACAAAAACAAAAACCAGCCACTACCAATAAAAGATAAGCATTCTCCTTCATCTAAAAGTTTATTTACTCAACAAACATTTATTGAGCACTTATTACATGTTAGGCAGGCACTGTTACAGTTGATGGAATAAAAGAGTGAAGAAAAGGGGGCTCTCATGGAGCTTGTATTTCAGTTTGTATCCCCCACAATGGAAATCGAACTCAGGACCTTGCACTTGCAAGGCAGGTAGTGGAACCACTAAGCTAAATCCCCAGCCCTTCACCTTTTTTTTCCCCTTCACCTTTTTTTTTAACGTAAGGCAGGAACAGGAAGGTATTACATGATTGGTCAAAAGTCACATTCTGGTTTCACCTATTTTACATATGGCAGGAAGAGGCTCAAGAGGTTACATCATTCTTGAAAAACAAAAACTTACTGGAAAACAAAAGGCTTACTAAAGGATGGGGTCTTCCAACTGAGAGCAATTCATTTCCTGCTTTATTTCCCCCCCTTTGTTTGAACATATCAAAGTACACTATGATTAGATTGTGTATGTGTTCAAGAGGTATGCAGGTTAGGTGTGGGTGGATCAGTAAGGTTTCCCTTGGGCTCAGGGGCCAATGGGAACAGTGGTGGCCTTGGTGTAGGTATAATGACAGGGGGTGAAGGGGCCCAGACTTTTTGGATTCTTATGATTACCCCCGGGTCTCTTCCCCTACCATCTACTCGGACACTCATCCGGCGACTGTTTGCCCACTCTTGGTTGGTGGGGTCCTGGATAGTGTATCTTATAGGGTTACAAGTCCCTTGTTGGCAATTAGGGTTCGATGGGAGCTGGGTTAAGGGTGTATTCAGGTATCCCCCATAGTCCATGGGGCAGTCCCAATAGAGGCAGAACCAATCTAGAATATCCCTACAGTGGCTCAGACGCCCTTGGCCTCCAGGTGGCTGGCGCCATTCAGGACAGACATATTTGTTATTGGTTTGATATTCTCGTTCCCAGCTTAACCCTCCACACCCCGTGAAATAGGAATTCTGGCCTGGGTTTTTGGTTTCAATAGGACATGCATCGAAATACAAATACACAGTAGGCTGGGAGGGATCCCATCTAGTCCTGTTGAGGATCACCATGGGATTGGTGCCATAAAGTTGGGCTTGGAACTCCCAGTGCCCTGAGTTTGCCTGGCAAGAATAAAGGCCAAGCAGACCAAGTAGGAGCAGATACAGATCAACAATAGGAAACATCTTTGTACAGTTGCATATGTAGTGGTATGGCATACCAGAAGCCAACTAACAGTAACAAACAAGGGTAATTAGTCCCAACACCTCATAAAACAAGCAGCTCAGTTGTCCACAGTTCATTCCAAAGTTGGAGTGTCAGCTGTGCATAGGCCTGTCAGCTTCCAGAGTGGTAGGTACAGGGCTTTAGGTGTGTTGTTTCCTCAGGGTAATTTTTAGGGGAGTTGACTCATCTGGGCAGGCCTCCCAGCAGTTGTCCAGGTGAGCCCTTCTTGATCTAAGAGTAATGGGACCCACAGCTGAATTTCTGAAAATTTAATAGTGGTGGGGGTGGTTAGTATGAACATATAAGGTCCTTCCAGATTGGCTATAAAAGCTCCTTTTTCCAATCTTTTACCCAACCATATCCCCAGGGGTATATGTATGGGCAGGTGTGCATGTGGGTATGGCTGGTTTTTCAGCTATGTTTCTTGGTATCTGAGAAAAAGTATTCCCTAATTGTTTAAGTTGTTCCTGCAGGGATGTTACCTAGCTGGTGTAGGTCTCCCTGGAGATCTATAATTATAGGAGGAAGTCTCCTGCACAAAACTTCAAAGGGTGTATATCGTATGGGTCCTGGTGAACTCCGACCCTGAGAAGGGCCATGGGGAGTAAATCTATCCATGGCTCCTGAGTTTCTTGGTGATATTTAGTCAATATTGATTTTAAAGTCCTATTCATCCTTTCAACCTTTCCAGAGCTTTGTGGCTTATAAGCTGTACATAAATTCCATTTAATTTCAGTTCTTTAGTCAGTTTCCAGGTTATTTCCACCACAAAAGTAGGTCCATTGTTGATGCCTATGGTTAAGGGTAGCCCATACCTAGGAATAATTTCTTTCAGCAGACTTCAGTGGCTTTTTCAATTTTTGTAGGAAATCATTCTGGCCATCCAGAATAGGTACAGACAAGCACCAGAAGATATTTGGAGACTCTACATGGTTTGACCTCTGTAAAGTCTACTTGTAGGTCTTCAAAACAGCAAAGTCCAGCATGTTGGATACCAGGTGGAGGTTTAGGCCCAGATGGAGGCTCAGTCATTGCACAAGTTTGACATCTCTGACTAACAGAGGCACAGATTGAGGCTAATTTAGGGATATAATAGTAATGGCTTAGAAGTTCATTTGTAGCAATCTTTTCTCTATGCGTGATGTTATGATGATATTTTACCCAGGCATAAGCCAGCTTTTGTGGGACGACCATTTGTTCATTTGGCAGAGTCCAGGCACCATTTGGCCCATGTGAGCAACTTCTTGTTGTGTCCATGTATTTTCTTCCTTGGGATAGCAGATGGGCTTGCTACAGAGACTAAGTATGGTATCAAGGGATATTTCATGTTGAGCTTCCAGATTCTCTCTTAAATCCTCCAGGTGGAGTCCTTGGCTGCCAATTTTATGGCCTCATTTGCCTTGTGGTTTCCAAGGGTGATAGTGTCTTTTATTTTCTGTTGCCCTTTGCAATGGATAATGGCGGCCTTTTTAGGTTTCCAAATTGCAGTCAAGAGCTGAGAATTTCAACCTTGTTTTTAATTTGTTTCCTTCTGCCACGAGACGTACACATTCCTTATACAACATGCCATGGACATGGACAGTGGTGAAAGCATACCTTGAATCAGTATAGATGTTTACTTTCTTTCCTTTTGCCCAGTTGAGGGCTTGTATCAGGGTCCATAATTCTCACTGAGCAGACAAGTTTTGAGGAAGAGGCCCAACTAGGAGCACCTCTTCTGTGGTGACAATAGCATATCCAACCTGATGCATTCCATCTTTGACTAAGCTACTTCTAACTGTGAACAGGGTGTACTCAGCATCAGACAAGGGTCCCATCTGTAGGTCCCACAGACTTGTGAAAAGTTCATCAGTCAGGGATAGACAGTTGTGGTCTGTGGGATGAAGCTCAGTGGGCAAGAAGGTACTGGGTTCAGAGATTTAGTCAACTGGAAAGTGAGTCGGTGATTTTCACAAAACCATCATTGATACTGAGTGACATGGCTGTTTGAGAGCCAATGATATCCCTGACTGTTGAGTAGTTCTAGAACAGCATGTGTCACCCGAACTGTCAGATTTTGTCCTAGGGTCAATTTGTCAGCTTCTTTAATCATGAGGATGGTTCCTGTCAGAGCTATCAGGGCAAGGAGTCCAGCCCTTGGCTACAGAGTCTAAGTTGTTTGACAGGTTTGCAATAGGCCTCTCCCAAAGGATAACTTTTTGGGTCAGGACCCATGATGCTACATGTCTCTGTTCATTGATGAACAGGTAAAAGGCTTTGGTCACACCAGGAATGCTGAAGGATGGGGCCACTGACACCGCTTGTTTTATTGTTTGGAAGGATTCAACCTGCTCTAAGGTCCAATTTAACAGTCCTCTCATTTTCCTTTCTTGTCAGCACGTCATATAGGGGCATAACCTTTTTGGTGAATATGGGTATCCATATTTGGCAGAATTCTGCAGCCCCCAGAAATTCTCTAAGTTGTCTTTTATTGTCAGGTCTTGGGATAAAGCAAATGACTTCCTTTCTCTCTGGGGCCAGGTGTCTGAGTCCTTTTTCTTTTTTCTTTCTTTTTTTTTTTTTTTTGTTGTTGTTTTGAGACAGGGTCTCACTATGTAGTTGAGACTGACCTGGAACTCACTGTGTAGCCCAGGCTGGTCTCAAACTCACAGCAATCCTCCTGCCTCAGCCTCCCGAGTGCCGGGATTACAGGCATGGGCCACCATGTCTGGCTGTCTGAGTCCTGGTTTTCAGTCAATTCCTAGGTAATACATTTTGGGCTTGCATATTTGAGCTTTCTTCCAGGAGACTTTATAACCTGTGGCCAATAGATGGTGGAGAATGGCCTGGACTCCCTTTTAGCAGTCTGATTTATTTGAGTTTTTTTTTTTTTTTTTTTTGGTACCAGGGATTGAACTCGGGTCCTTGTGCTTGCGAGGCAGGCCACTGAACCACTGAGCTAAATCCCCAGCAATTTGAGCTTTAAATAAGCAGATCATTTACAAACTGTAGCAAGGTGCAGTTGAAATCAGCATGTAGAAACTGGGCCAGATCCATGGCTAGTGCTTCTCTAAAGAGCATGGCGGGGCAGGTTTCTTGAAAACCTTCGAGAGATGGGTCCAGGTAAATTGGCCTTTCATCCCATCTTGGGTCCTCTCATTCAAAGGTGAAGATGGGCTGGCTCACAGGGTGACCTATAGACAGAAGAAGGGATCTTTTAGGTCCACGCATGTGAACCAGGCAACATCATGGGGAAGTAAACCCAGGAGGGTATAAAGATTGTGAACTGCCGAGTGCAGAGTTGTGGTGGTAAGAATTGATGACATGGAGGTCCTGCACTGGCAAATAATCCCCATTGGGCTTCTTTACTGGAGGAGAGGAGTGTTCCAAGGCGACTGACAGTCCATCAGGATTTCAAACCATTTTAAGTGAGGGATGTGGGGTTGGATGCTGAGTTGAGCCTCTCATGAATTTGGATATTGCTTAACAGGAATGAGAGGTAGGACAGAGTTTGATCACTGAAGCGCAGAGTTGATAGCAGGCCCTGGGGATGAGTTGTCTCTCCACACTCCTGGAAATAAGTCTCTTAAAACCTCAGGATTATGACTATCAGGCATTTCAGGCTGGTGTAGGCATCACTCTTCTTCTCAGGGCACAGTCAGAGTCAGAATCAGGTCTGGGATGGTTGATCTGAATGCAAAGGAGGCTAGCTGGTTTGGAGTGAAGGAAATGGTTGCTTCCAACTTGGAAAGGAGGTCCTATCCCAGAAGAGGTACAGGGCACTCAGGTATGTACAGGAACTCATTTTTTTTTTTTGGTATCGGGGATTGAACTCGGGTCCTTGCGCTTGCAAGGCAGGCCACCGAACCGCTGAGCTAAATTCCCGGCCCCTGGAACTCATGTTTAATAAAGTGCCCACCAATCTCACAGGATCTGCATAGACAGAATTTCTTTTCAGTAGGGACTCCAGTGGTGCCAATGACTTGGGTTCACCAAGAGGTCAAGGAAGCAATAGGCTGAGTCACAAATGAATGTTCAGCTCCACTGTCCACCATAAAAGTCATAGGTTTTCCCAATTCTGAAAATGACCATGGACTCCTTGGGGCCCAGTCTAATAGACTGTCTTATTTGTAGTCATCCAAGAGAGAAAGGAGAGCTGCAGGCTGAGGTGGGCCTGCATAGTCAGATTTCATTGTGTACTTCAGAGGGAGGGGGCACTTATCTTTCCAGTGTCCAAACTGTTTGCAGCGAGCACATTGGTTAGCTGCTAAGGTGTAAGGTCTGCTGCCAGTTTTAGGCTGTGAGGCTTGAGGGTGCCATGTTAGGATTGGCACTAGCGGGCACTTCAGGAATAGGCTTCCCTAACATTGCAGATCAAAGGGCACCTCTGTGGTCTGCCTCATGTCATTCTTTTCTTCCCTGTCTTGATTTATAAAAACCTTTTGAGCAATCTGAAGTAGCTGAGTAGCATGCATGCCAGCAAAGCTATCAACCCTTTGGATTTTTTTTCTAATGTCAGAGGCTAACTGTGCAATAAAGGCAACACTGACCATCTGTTGATTTTCAGGAGCCTTGGGGTCAAAGGGTGTATAGACCCTGTAGGCTTCACAGTCTCTCATAAAATTTGGCTGGAATTTCATTGGTTCCTGGGTCACTTCAATAACTTTAGACATGTGTATTGGCTTTTTGCTTCCTTCTCTGAGGCCTTCGAAGAGAGCAGTGTGGTATTGATTTAAGGCTTCATTGCCACGACCACTCCAGTGGAGTCTGCGTGACAATGCCGGTCACCTGGCAGAAACCAGATCCGAGGTATCGTCCCCATGGGGTTAAGCCTCCTGGAAGTCCTTGGAACACACCGCATGCGAAGTCAGCCGTGAAGAGAATAGCTGGCATCTCTGCCTGCAGTTTGGGGACATTGGGTTCATTTATAATTCTGTTCTATTTTGTCTTTATTACTATTTGTTCATTATCTGTAGAATTGTATTCTGGGCCCAGGAAAGATTAGGAACAATTAGATGTTCCTAGAGGTGGGGAGGTATTGGGGCACAAGAGGACGGGCGGCCAAAGTGCTGACCCTGAGCCCCCGACTGTGAAGTCCTGAAGGTGATCCTGAAGGTGACATGCTGAAGCCAGTCCTTTGTTTTACAAACTTCCCCTTCTGACTGCGTATAGGTGTGGGCTTACCTTGACTTAGCGGTCTTAGCTTTTGTGATTGTATATAGGTGTGGTCTTACCTTGACCTTCACTACTCAGTGCTGTGTGGTTTCTGACTGTCGCTGCCGAACCTGCTCCCACCTTTCTGAAGATCCCTGTTCTCCTCGTGAAATCCAGTCTTTGCTCCCCTACGGTCGGTAGCACTTCATGGCCTTCTGTATTATAGTCCTACTCTGGATGCACTTGGGGGAGGGCTGCATTTACCCAAGCATCAGGATCAACCACAGTGTTGGGGACTTTTGATTTTAACCAGGCTTGGGCCCCATCTAAAATGTCTTAGTGGTGTTCCTCAGTGTTAAACAGAGTCAGAAGGAGTTGCTGACAGTCATCCCATGTTGGTAAGTGGGTCTGGAAGATGGATGTAAGGAGGTCTATCATTCCCCTAGCGCTTCTCTAAATAGGATGGGTTGTGATGTTTCCAATTTAGGAGATCAGTGGACCTAAACAGCTGGTAATACATCAGGGGCAGCTGGTTGGATGAATGTCTTTGAGCTCCAAGGTAGGCATGAAGCAGCAACTGGAGGTGAGCTGGAGCCTCAGGCTGAGTGGCAGAGCGACGGTGGTGGCTGATGGGGCTTCTGGGCTGTCAGAGAGACTCTGGAGCAGAGATTTGGGTAGGTGACGGAAGCCCAGAGGAATCAGGAACAGGCGGAGGAGTTGGGAGGCCACTTATGGGCACACCTAGAGCAGGCAAGGGTAGCTGTGGTAAATGTAGACCTCTAGGTGGCAGTGGCCCATTGAAATCAGGAACAGCTGGTGGAGCTGAGGGGCTGCTTAGGGTTCTCTGGCAGAACAGGATAAAGCTTTTCTGGTTTGGGCTGAATGTGAGAGCCTTGCAGATGACTCTGTGGATTTGTTTTTAGGACTAGGATGGTCTTTTTGTCAACACAGGGGTGGAGCCAATGTGGGAGGCTCTGACACAGGTTGAGCTAAGAGTCAATGTAAGGGAACTGGTCAGGATAGCCTTGTTCATCGAGCTCTGTTTCTCTGTTCCAAACTCGACAGACAATTTCAACATCAAGTGTCCCTTCAGATGGCCAACAGGGGCAAAGGTTTGGCCATTCAATTTCACAAAAGGCACAGAGCTTCTGAGGGTTCATTTTTCACTCTGTAGTCATTAGGAAATTCTTTTTTGAAGTTTTTCAGCATGCAATCAAGGACCGTAGATTTGTTCTGACTTGCATCCATTCTGTCTATGCGTATGTTGTATACCCTTGAACTGAGTTATGACAGACTAAGGTGGGTGTCCCTCAAATGAAGAACCAAGCACTTGTCAGTTCTGGCTGCTCTTCTTGTAGGGACCGGGGTCTGTCCTGGCAATAGGCACATCTGTAATCCCAGGCCTGGTCAGGGACCCCCACTACAGGGTTTTGAGTTGCCCCTTAGCCATACGATGTATCCACAGAACCACGGAAATCTGACCTCTCATGCTCTACAGCTATGGGATCTGGAGGGATACCTCTCCTTGGAGCACAGATGGCTTACACTGTCCATTCACACTCATTCACTCATTCATACAACAGACTCTCAGAAGTTAAATCCCGCTCTGGGAATCCTGATTAATGAGGGGTGATCAGGGCTTCCTTCACTCGAATTGAGTATGACTGAACTGACTTCTTGTGGAGCCCCTGAGGGTCTTACCTCATCCAGTGATCAGTCCAGACCAGCCCAGACCAGTGTCCTGTCCTCTTGTGGGTCCAGAGAGCTGCAAGCAGAGAGCAACAGAGTTCATCTACAGTCCTCCAAGGGGGCTCTGAGAAATCTTTGAGGGCATGCCTTCCCATTGGGGGACCAGAGAGGTCCTCACTTGTTCCATGAGGGCTTCGATTGGTGACCTAAGTGATTAGTGTGTGGCTGATTCCTGGTCAGGTAATCAAATGTTACAGTAAATGCTACAGCTCTCAGCAACCGCTACAGCAGGTTGAGACCAAGAACCAAGAGTAGCACTGGAGATGAGGGAAAAATCAACTTGCTGGTTTAACGTATTTTGGAAATGGAATGCCTGGATAGAGGATTTTGAAAAGAAAAAAAAAAGGTGACTCTAGGACTTGCATCTGACAGTCACAACTACACACAAACAATAGCCATCAGGAATCAATCTATTAAACCATGACTCATCTATTTCATTCTTACTAAGCAAATTAAGATGTCCACTCTGAGTGAAAAAGCCAAGTGTATATCCTTTTCTTACAAAATAGACTATATGTGTACACAGACAAGTATACATGTTACCTGGGGAGGTCCTGAGGAGGGAACTGTTTTACTTTATGCCTCTGTACTGTTTTAACTTTCTCTCTCTCTCCCCCCTTTTTTCAACCTGTAATCGAACTCAGGACTTCACAAAGGCGCATATAATGTATCGTTTCGCAGGGTGGAAATATGGTTTAAAATGTCTGATTGCAAACATGGGGGTCAGGTATTACAGAATCCTGCAGGGAGAGAATTCCAAGACTTCGTTCACTTAAAGGAAATCTTTCAGACCCCCGCGCCTTTGGTTCAGACCACGTGTTTGTTAATACCACTGGATGGCTTCTAGCCCGGTGCGACCCAACCCACCTGCCTGGCCCCCGCCACCCCACTCCACCGGCCACTCCCGGATATCACCACACCTGGCATCCGGCGCGCATGCTCCCTCCCAGCCAGCCTGAGCCCAAGAACCCACCTCCGTTTAACCAGTGCGCAGGACCACAGCCCCCTCCTCACGCTCACTCACTCGGAGGCGCCCGGCGCGGTGTGTTTGCGTCATCGCGCCACGCCACCACCAGAGCCGGGGGAAGATGGCGGCAGCCGTTCTGAGTGGACCCTCTGCAGGCTCCCCGGCTGGGGTTCCTGGCGGTGCCGGGGGTCTCTCGGCGATGAACTCTGGACCGCGTCTTCGTTTGCTGCTGCTGGAGAGCGTTTCTGGGTTGCTGCAGCCGCGAACGGGGTCCGGCGTTGCACCCGTGCATCCCCCAGTGCGCTCGGCCCCACATTTGCCGGGGCTCATGTGCCTCCTGCGGCTGCATGGGACGGTGGGCGGGGCCCAGGTAAGTCAGAACCTCGTTTGCCGCCAGCCCTGTGGGGAGGTTACCTGGACATTTGTGCGTGGGGGTTACCCTCTACTGAAGTTGCATTGGGGAGGTTGAGGGGAGGAGAGCTGAGGGCCTCAAGCCATCGTTCCAGACGAGATTTATGTATTTCTCTCTCTTTTTATTTTTTTGGTACCGGGGATTGCGCTTGCAAGGCAGGCCACCGAACCACTGAGCTAAATCCCCGGCCCTTGTCTTTCTCTTTTATCCGCCGTTACTTTAGGGAAAAGATTACGCCCCATATCTCTGTTTCTAAGCTGGTAGTTACTTAGGAACACATTCAGTTTGTGGCCGGGTCACTCATTAGCAAAATGACCTGCAGCCTGTTCTGGAGATAATTTGTTTTAATGGTAGTTTTCAGTGGGTTAATAGACGTATTCAAAATATAAATTTTACCGAGCTCTTACTGGTGACCTCATGGTGATCGTCTTGCCTCAGCCTTCCAAGCGCTGGGGTTTCAGGTATACGCCACCACTTCTGGCTTTAGTGCAGTTTCTTTCTCGTTGTAGCAGTAATCTAACTGGTTTCCTTGACCAGTCGTGCACTCTTACTCCGTTCTCTGCACAATAATTGGAGTGAGCTTTTTACAGTAAAATCCTGACCTATTTGTTGCCTTTAAAATCCTTTAGTTAGGCTGTGGTGGTGGCAAGTAGGATGGGGCCTTCTTGCTTCAAGACTTTCGTAGTTACTCTTCTTTTGAAATGCCTGAACTGCATCCTAGATCCCTCCAATTCACTGCATATTTGTTACTGCCTCTAGGAAGCCGTTTCTGACCACATATGATATTAACTGCTTCTTATTACACTTTTTGTTTTACATAAACAGTATATGCAACTTCCCTCACCCATACTTGTACAACTAGGCTTATATTTGTTTTTTAATATGATTGCCAAAATCTTAGAAAAATTTCAGGCATACACAAATATTTCAAATCGCCCCACCTTATGGTGCTTTTGTCATTCAAATTTAACACTTTGCCAGTTTATTGCCTTCCTACTCAACTCTGCCTTGGTTTCAATCCCCACCTTGCCCCACTTCAAAAAAAAAAAGTTCATGGCCAAATTTGAGTTTTCATGTTATTTGATCCATCTGTATCATTTGATAGTTGATTATTCCTTCTTAAAAAACTCTTTTTCCAATTTTAGTACAGGTGCTGCTGAAGTGAGCACTTAAGAAACTATCTTAAAACTGGGCCCAATGGTACACACCTGTAATCTCAGCTCCTTAGGAGAATGAAGATCACGGGTTGGAGTCCAGCCTTAACAAGACTGTTTCCAAATAAAAAGGGCCAGAGGTGTTATTCAGCAGAAGGCCGTGAATTTGATCCTCAGTATGACAAAAATCAAAATCTGTCTTCCTTGACCTTCAGGGTACCATTCTGAATTCTCTTACCACACTGGTCATTCCTTGCCAGTCTTTTCTAGTAAAGACTGGTTTGTTCTCTGTTAGATGTTTGAGTGCCCAAGTGTCCTTGTACTATGTATATTTTTTGTTCGTTTGATTTTTTTGTACTAGGGATTGACACAAGGGCCTTTACAGTGAGCTATATCCCAACCCTTACCCTGTTTTTTTATTTTGAGATAGGGTGTTGCTAAATCTCTCAGTTGCCCAGGCTGAGCTGTAATTTATTATCCTCCTGCCTCAGCTTCTTAAGAGTGTTAGGAATACAGTTAATACAATGGAAAAATGTTTGGGGCAAGTAAGCAGTGCAGGAGTATCACCAGAAGTCTTGTATTGGCTGTTGGACACCAGTACCAGCAAACAGTGGCCTTCAGCATGCACTTGTGCTCTTGTGCACTCTATTTTGTCATTTGGGAGTGAGATGAAATGTCAGAAACAGTTGTGAGACTAGGAATTAGATCCTTTGGATCTGAGGAGGCATTCTGCTGGATGGATTTTTTATTTATTTTTTTGAGACAAGGTCTCACTACGCAGTTGAGGTTGGCCTTTAGTTCACTGTAGCCGGGGCTGATCTCAAACACCTGATGATCCTCTTGCTTTAGGCTCTTAAGTGCTGGGATTACAGGCATGTGCCACCATGCCTAAGTTGCTTGGATTGATTTTTGAAATGTTTCCTGCAGTTATTTGCCTTGTTCATATTTTGATTTTATAAACTTTGGTTTTATAAACTGACATTTATCCCCCCACCCCTGCCTTTTTTGGTTGTTTTGAGACAGGGATGAGACTGACCTGGAACTCACTATGTAGCCCAGGCTGTTCTTGAACTCACAGTGATCCCCCTTCTTCAGCCTGCTGTGTGCTGGAATTATAGGCATGCACCACTGTGCCTGGCTTCCCCTCTCCTTTGAGACTGAATTTTGCTGTGTATGTAGTTCAGGCTGGCCTTGAACTCACTGTGTAACCCAAGCTGGCGTCAAATTCACAGTGATTTGCCTGCCTCAGCCTCCTAAGTGCTAGAATTATAGGAATGCACCATCATGCCCACCTGACATGATTTCTTGTTCCATTATGAGTGCATGTTATCTTTGTTTAATAAGCCCTTCACACGTTTCACTATATCATTTAAGTAACTTTCTACATTGTTGATGTCATCTTCATTATTTCTATTATCACGTTCATTGGCATGTGCTGGAGGGAAACTTACGTACTTTTTAAATCACTGTTACCCGTAGGGGTATCTACAACCTTTTTTTGATTCAACAATATGTACATACGATAAATGCAAAAAAAGCAAAAGCAAACAAAACAGTGAGTAATCCACACAGGTCTTGGCCCTATGTGCAACATTGTAGGAAGTCTGCCATTGAGTGGTCTGCATTTTATTATCCTTTTGGGCATTTTATTATCCTTTGTGAAGGAATATAAGCAGGCATACAGAAAAGACAAATCAGAGCTAAAGGCAGCTGCTTTTCTCTTTCAGACAGTGAACAAACTATTGTACAACTGTGTTTTGCCTTAAATCCTGTTATATTAGGTCAAGTGAGGATTTTTTTACTTGTGTCACTTCAGCTTTCGGAGTGTTTTGAATTTTAGAGCAGTTAGATTTTGGGTATTCTGACTAGGAATGTTCAACCTGTATATATGTCATTGGTTTATTTTCTGTCTCTGACTAGAAAGTATGCTTCTCAGCACATAAAACAAAAGTTTCTTAGGAAATAAATGTTAAGTACAGGTTTATGTGAATTGTTCCACCTCATTGCTCCCTGGATTTGCTTTTGGTGAGCGGGAAGTTGGGTTACATCTTGCTTAAGTGTTTTATATATGTGTGTGTGTGTGTGTGTGTGTGTGTGTGTGTGTGTGTGTGTGTGTGTGTATTTATTTATTTATATTCCTGAGTTGATGCTTATAAATTGCTTATGTTAGGTAGCTTTATTGCTAGTATTTAGAAACTTTGAGAAATGACCACTTTTCAAAGATGTCTTCCTGGTGTAGCTGGCTTTTAGATTTTGAGTCTTTTGCAAGGTGGTCCTACTTCTTCAATTTATTGGGGATGAGAAGTTGCTGCTTATTTGGTCTAGCCAAATTGATACTGGCTTGTAGTATTGCTTATGACCTTTAGGCATGAACCTTGGCTAAAATAGTACAATCGGCAGTAACAATAGCATCAAACACAGCCTAAAGAATGACAGACTGTGTAGCTATTAATTTGCTACCTTTAACTGTGTGAATTGTATTTGTGGTTATATAACAAAATCTAAAACCAGAGAATTATTTACAGTAAATATGCCCTCAATATGGTGATTTTACCCTCAAGGAAGGAAATGTAAAAGGGATTAGGAGGAAAAAAATAAGAGCAATAGTAGAAGAAGAAGGAAGGGGAGGAGGAGGAGGAAGAAAAAGAAGAAAGAAAGAAGATATTAGAAGCAAGATTGGAGAACAAAAGAAGATTACACAAACTTCGGGAAACTGGTGAAGGAGGAAGAAATATAACAAGAACAACTAGGAACTTTTCACATTTATAAAAAGAAGAACAAAGACAAAAAAGAAAACAAAACGAGAAAATCTACTTCAGGGTGTTTCTGCTGTCACTGGTAGACAAATTGCCCAGATCCATATTGATTAATCCCAGTAAGCCAGCTGTAGATTTACAGCAGGGTAGTGGATAATCCCAGCAAGCCTATGCCTTTAGTTCCACTGAAGTTCAGGTTGGTTTCTGGCTGTGAGGATGGAACGGAACCCACTTTGTTCAGCCTGCAGTACTCCCTGTGCTTCTTGCTGGCTTGAACTCAGCTCCCTGCTGGCTTGAACTTGGCTCCTCATACTCAGCTTCTTGACCTCCTGCTGGCAACTTGGTTTCCGACTTAATCCTGACACTAGGAGACACTAGATGCTATAGCCCCCAGCTGAGTTCTGAGCTCAGTTGGCCCCTCTCCAAGATGGCTACCAGCCAATCACCCTTTTCTAGGGGACATCTGAACCCAAATAACTCACCAGCCACTGCAGTCCCCTATATCTTCTGCTCCATTCCACTGATGTGTATCTGTGTGGAGGCCTTGGGGATCACCAGTAGTCACTGTGCATCTCTAGGTTTGAGCCTTGCCTTCTATACTGCGAGCCAGGGCTTGGAGAAAGCACTGTTGAAGTCTTTTTATACCCCCTGTGGTCTTCAAGTCTGACTTCAGAACCTTTCTGGGTCCTGGGAACCCACTGTTCTCCTTTCTCATGTTAGTATATTATTCCAGTGACTGGACACCAAGTCTTGGAGAAGTTGTTTCTCTGCTGTTCACCACTCTGCCATCTTCCTGAAAGTCCAAGTACATGTTTATTGAAAAAATGAATGGCTGTTTTCCTCCATCAGAGAAGAGCAGGGGCCTTATGTATTCATTTTTGTCTTCCTTTGCCTGGTGCCATGTGTAATAGGGAGGTAGAGGACCATGAGAGTTTTGCCTTTTAGGTGATGGAGAAGTTACTTATGGAAGGGCTGGTGAGGAAACATCTTTCCTGGGCTCTAGTTTATGAGGGAAGGGAAGGATTAGAGGGAGTACTCTGCTTGAATAGACCTGTGTTGATGTTCTTCAGATGCAGGGAAGCTAGGAATATGAAGAGGAAGATTTGTTTAAGGGTTAAGGAAGAAGGATAGGGATGAGTTCAGTGTTCATTGAGCAAGCATTTCTGGATGTTTCCTCTATGCGTGGTGCTGTCTAGGGATGCAGAAATGAAGCAGATCTATAGAATTTTGTCTGTCCTCTGTTAGCTCTGATCATGAGGTAAGACATGGGGGAAGGGGTCAGGCAAGATTGAGCTTGAGGAGAGATTGATGAGAGCTGCTGTGTTTGTTACCCACAGGAGAGAAAAGAGCACTGGTTAAAGACCTCTGAAGGACTAGCCTTTTGGTCTTAGAAAAGGGAAGACTTTAGAAAGACTGACACTGGGGCAGGGAAGGTGTTGGAGAGTTTCTCCTCCCTCTTTTTTTTTTTTTTCCTCCTCCGTCTTTAATGTCCTATTCTGGACTCCCATTTTCTTTCTTCCAGAACCTTTCTGCTGTTGGGGCATTGGTGAATCTCAGTAATGCATGTCTTGGTTCCTTGAAAACTCGGTAAGTCTTTCAATATTTTTTCCCAGGAGGATGTTCCCTTAGGAAGTGGGCTATATGTGCATCTGTCTATCCACTGTAACCCTTCTATGGATTCAAGAAATTTCTCCATTCCCAGGAAGGTTGGGAGTTTCAGTTTTTTTTTTTTTAATTTAATTTTTTTATGGTAGTGGGTGTTGAATTCAGGACCTTGTGCTGGCAAAGCAGGCGTGGTTCTACTGAGCTAAAACCCAGCCTGGGAGTTTCATTCTTTTGTGAACTTACCTGAATTGAACCCACTCTTTGCAGTTTCCAAATTTTCTGTTTCCCACCTGGAGTTATTACTGCCAAGCATTTCAGGAAGTAGGAATCATGGTGGGTCTGAGGGTGAAGTCTTGCTATAGCCCAGCAAGAATGAAAGAATAGTCACTGGATTTATCTGAAGTACAGTTTCCACCCATCTGGTATGCTCTCTCCTTGCTTATAAGGTTTGAGGGCCTATGCCTGCTGTCCCTGCTGGTTGGGGAAAGTCCCACAGACATGTTCCAGCAGCACTGTGTCTCTTGGCTTCGGAGCATTCAGCAGGTGTTGCAGGTAAGGATTTAACTGTCCATCCACTGTCTCCCTATACTCTCCCCCATCCCAGGACTGGTATGTTCTTTGTGGTTTGGACATTCAGGCTTTTTTTTTTTTTTGTACTGGGGATCAAACTAAAGTCCTTATCTTTGCAAGGCAGGCACACCGGAACCACTGAGCTAAATCCCCAGCCTGAACTTTCAGTTTCGAGGACAGAATGATTAGAGGCAAGTTTTTTTTTTTTTTTTTTTTTTTTTTTTTTTTTTTTTTTTTTTGGGGTTAGGTGGTG